TATGTGGTGCTGTGACCCAGTTGCCATGGTAACAAAAGTGCAAAGACAGATTAATCCAATGTTCTTTTCTATCAACAGCGAAACTGTGGTGATTTATGCTGGTCCTATACCCACAAGATGAAAGGCTGCATTTCAGTTCTATGTTACAGGTCTAGTGGTTGTAAAGTTTAATAGCAAACAGACCAACAGTATCTTCTGTTCTGAGATTCAGAAGAAGTGAAAAAAAAAAAACAAACCTGACAGAACTGTTTGCTTGTCTTTCATTTTAATGCAGGCCCGTCAAGCCTCATGTGATGAGCGTCAGACTTGCTCTTTTACCAACTGCTTTCTCATTCCCTACTGTGGCAGCTCCCTACAGTTCCTGCATCAGCAGTGCGCTGTCATGCGGCCTGACGTGTGAATCTGGTCTGTTGGGACTTTAAGAATTTGCAGGATCTGCCAAAGTCACAAACCCAAGTATCTATACAGCAGTGAAGAATCTTCATCTGTTGCAAATACAGTACTGTTTACCTCATGACAAGATTCGATGTACTTTAGTTTTCTTTTGGCCTGACAAGAACTACCCACATTTTTTTTCCAGCGGCTGTGTATTGGAGATTTGTGCTTGAGACCTTGTCTCAGTGCCAAATTCACTATCAATTTCTAGCTTAATTTCTGTATTTTGTTGATTTATGCTTGGCTTCATGATGAAATAATGTTTAAAACTGGAAAGAAACATTCCTGAGGTCTCTAATCACCATTTTCTTGCCCTCTATATTTCCTGTTTACCTACCCAAAAGATCTTATACTTTTTGTTTTTTAAGAAATACCTAAAGAAGGCATACCTCAACATTTACATTTTGCAATCATACAATCACAAGCCAGATTTGAAAACATGACAAACTGAGCGAGGGTGAACGAGCTTTATTGCTGTGTGAAATACTCGTGACTCCCTGTTTTTCTTTTCCCTGCACCCAAAGTCCAATTTCAGGATAAGCCAAATGGCTTGCTGGAGTAAAAAACAAAACACTGTTTTCTAAAACGTCAGCTAAAAAAGAAAGCTATTTGACCTTATGTAAGAGAACATGACAGAAAATATTGTCAAGTGGTACTGATCTTTCATAATGGTTAGAATGATGTACCTCATAAGAACCTCTATTTTCTTAAATCAAAAATTGAAAGAATTTTTATATTGATCTAAGAATTACAAGAAATGAACTATGATCATTAGTTAACTGTACTTGCCTTATTATTCTCCATAGTAACTCAAATTTCTTTTACTTTTGAATTGTACTTACTTGCTAATATTAGCAAGTGGCCTACATTTCGAAAATTTTGAAAGCACAGAGAATATTTGCTCCCAATATATGCGCTGAACTTGTGAAATTACATTGCCCCTGTGTTTAGTTATGTGGATGTCTTGTGCAAAACTGAGAAACAGCTTTGTTAATATGTCCATAATTTCAGAGTTTGCCCATTCAAAACAACTCACTTGGTTACAAACCAGCTGCCTCCTGGTGCCTTTATTATTATACGTTTTCTTACATTTCATATGCAGCTCTGAAAGTGATTGTTTATCTTCTATGTGCTGTAGAATAGTGTTTTGGGCAAAACCAAAACTGTCCTACAAAGATTAAAAAGTGTCGCAAAACCACAATATCCTACTTCTACGTGAGTCTTATGTGCTATATACAAATATATTCACACCTAACTATAACTATCTTACATGCAGCATGTTCATTTGGGGTTAGCTTTTGTGATGACATGTTATCTGAATGACTTTTTGCCATAACTGAAAGAAAACTAATACTTCTCTTACTTTCTTTAGTTTCAGTAGCAAATAATAACTAGCTTGTTCTGTGAATCCCATTTGGTATGGGGAAAAAAGAATTCCTGTGATTGTAAGTAAAACAAATGAAAAGGAGGTAGTATAATCAATACACCTGAAAATCTGAATTGATATTCATGACTATTCCTCTGGTGCTTCTACTACACCTGGTTAAAATAATAAAGTATTTTATTAACCTGGATCTCCTATATGTTAACAACTGGTGAAAATAAATAGTTCATAGAAATTAGGTTTAAAGGGGACCTTCAAGTACACCATGCTTCAAAAATATTAATATTGTGGCCCAGTGATTACTAATCAACAGAAACTGTTGACCCATGAACACAGTGCTCTGTGGACAAGAGTATTCAGGAGTATCATCACAGCAGGCCACTGGACTACCATGCTTGAGGTACAAAAGCTTGCTTGTGTCTGGCACTATACTATTTTATTCTGGTTCATTTCTCTCCAATACTGTCTTCAAAATCCTCTGAAGATGACAGAAAGAAAAAGAGGAAGTTTCTGACAGACAACAAAGAGACAAAAATGGAGTAATAAAAAATTACCCCAATATCATCTCTTCAACCAACACACAATGCAAAATGACAGGGCCAGGCTGGAGAGAACTTTGAGCAACCTGATCTAGTGGGTGGAATCCCTGCTCAGCGCAGGGGAGTTAGAACCAGATGATTCCTTCCAACACAAAGCACTCAATTATTCTACAAAATCAGTGTTATTCGTGCATTTTTTTGCATTTCAAAATTAAAGAAAGAAAAATAAAAGTATTGTATTCTTTTTTCTGTTTTCTTTAGCATTTACACTAGAAGAAAGTAAACTCCATGCTTTATAAAGGGACATATGATAATGTAGAAGTAACACAGATTCATGTTCTATTAATAGTTGCCTGTATGGAAATTTTAGATGAGAGACTGATTCAAGACTTCAATGCTAACATAAATGCAAATATAATTCAAAACTATGGAGGACCTTTGTCTTGGGATAAATTTGGGAGTTTGGCATCATTTAAGTCTTAAATGTCTAAGGTAAACTTTAAAAGTTTAATATAATAGTCAATTCATAGTATCAGTTTTATAAATTACATAAGCAAAACCTTCTCTGAACACTTGAATTTACTGTTTCAAATATTTATTCAGCTAGGATTTAAAGCGACATTTCAGAATGAAAAACATTTTATGGAAAACTATAGTTTAATATCTATTCAAGATTATGTGATATATTTGTAATACTTTTTAAAAACAAAAACCCATGAAACAAAGTTGTCATAGAAGAAAAACGTTCTCTGTTTTTTTCCCTAACTACAATTGATAACACATCTAATGTGCCCTGTTTTTAGAGGGAAATGGGTTTTTACTCATGATTTTTAAATCAATAGTAAAACTAAATTGCATGCATTAAGAAAACACAAAAGTGATTCTTATCACCCATGCAGGTGGGTCTAAAACAACGAGCAAATTCAAGATATCTACAATGGCAGAAAGAGAAACGTTCTGTATTTCATGCAGGAAAGAAGGGTGAACTCTAAAAAATGCACAATGTCTTCGAAAAATACTTCCTATCTTCCTGTTATAGTGGGGTAGGTATAAACAGCTGCATGAAATGAAATGAAAACCCTGCAAATCTAGAATGAAATTTCTTCTGATATACACTTTAATCCATATTCATGTCTCTGTGACACAATTTGTTTGTGTCACAGCTCCTATGGGTGCTTCACTTCATGCAATGTATACCACATACGTAAAGTGGATAACCCACCGGGCAAACTGCTGTTTCCATGCTGCCTCAGCCACCGCTGCTGCCTTCTTCTGCCCTTTCCTCTGCCTGGGATGTGTCCAGTTCTCAAACCTTGGGCAGATATCTCCAGTCACCCATGGCTCATCTTCACCCTTTCATTAGAGCAGAACTTGCCAAGTATTAAATCTGGCTCCAACACCCTTTATATGTTTTTCTATCCTGTATGGACCCGTCAATTTAGACCCAAGGTAAATGGGCTCTGCATTAGAGGATGTGGTTATGCAAAAGTGCCGAGACAGATATTTAAAACATCTTGAATAATTGGGCACCACCTCATAATGACATCAGTACGGACATCAGAAACGGCTGCCACCATCCAGAAGCGATGTCCACGCGGGGCCATGGCCATGGCACAGCAGCGCGACGCAGAGCTGCCCCACCCTGTTTGTCAGCGGTCGGACAAAAGCCAAGCGAGGCAAGAGAAAGCACGACAGCGGAATGCGATGAGGAGACCGTCCAGGGACTGTCATGCGCACAGCAAGGACACTGACCAGCAGTCCTCAAGCTGAAGGGTGCTCGGCCGCCCAGCCCCAGCGCTGGAGATGGGCCACGGGGCGCGGCCATAACGGCACAACTCGGAATGCCGGACCAGGATAACGGGGCGGGAGCGGGATAACCGGACGGGAACGGGATAACGGGGCGGGAGCGGGATAACGGGGCGGGAGCGGGATAACGGGGCGGGAGCGGGATAACGGGGCGGGAACGGGATAACGGGACGGGAGTGGCCCCGCGTCGCGGAGCCCGCGGGCGTGACCTCCCCTGCCCGCAGAGGCGCTGTGTAGCACCGCCGGGGCCCGGGCGAGCCCGCTCCGCTCCACCGAACGGCTTCCGCAGCTCCCCGAGCGCCGCCCGCGCTGCTCCTCCTGGCTGCGGGCTGTCGGGCCGGGACGGCAGCGCATTCGGCCGTATCTGCTCCGCCCGCTCCGTCCCCGCTTTCCGCCTCGGCGCACGGGCGCCCCCGCCCCACCACAGGGCCCCCGCTCCATGGCCGCGCCGCCCTCTGCGGCCCCGAGACGGGATCGCGGAGCTCCGCGCTCCCCGCGCCCCCCGCTCCGCCCCGCCCGCTCGCGGCTTGGCGCCGAGCACCCCGGGAGCTGTAGTCCCTTCGCCCGGAGCCGAGGGCTGGGGACACGGGCAGCAGGACTACGACTCCCGGGAGTGCATCGGAGCGGGGGCGGGGCAGACCGGGGGCGGAGCGGGAACAGCTCCGGTGCTGATCTCGCCGCGGGTTTGCCGGCAGAGCCGGGGCTAGCGGCGGAGGCTGCTGTCGTGCGGGAGCGAGCGGCAGCGGGCGGGCGGCGGGGCCGCGCCCGACGATGAGGCACGAAGCGCCCATGCAGGTCGGTCCCCGGGCCGGGGCCGAGCGAGGGCTGCGGCGGGCGCGGTGCACGAGAGACGGGACAGGGCGGGAGCCGCTCTGGCCGGGCCGCCGGGCCGGCTCTGCTGCTGCGGGCACAGGGTGCGGACACCCCTTGCGTGCAGGGGGTCGGGGCATGTGCAAGGCGTCGTGTCCCCGGCAGGGTGGGCCTGTCGCGGGGAAGTGGGTGGGTTTCCAGTCACACTCGGGCACATCGACCGTGTTTTTCAGACGCTGCCCCCCGAGCGCCGGTCGCAGCTCTCCTGGGAGGGACTGGCAGTCGGTGTTGGATGATGGGCTGCACCGAGGTCCTGCCGAGGTGCACAGAAAGCTGGCACGGTGCCTCCACTTGTGTAGTCATGGAGCAGTTGTCCACCTACACCAGCGAGGGGTGGCTCATAGCTAGAGCTGGTGGTAGCAGAGAGAGGCCCCTTCTCAGCAGTTTGTCTGTATGGAAAGATCATTTCAAAGGTGGCTGAGGGGAGCAAAAAAAAAAAAATAGGAAGTGGGAGATAATTTGTAAATTATCTCCTTTGCCGAGGAAAGAATTAGAAACAATTTTCCTTAGTTTTTCCTATCCTGTTATCACTGGCAATTGTTATGTCTAGACAAGGTACGTTCATAGCAGACACATCCAAACACAATGGAAAAGGGCAATAGCAAGCCAAAATGCTGCTTACAGGTATTTAAGAAGTTATTATAAAATTATGATACAAAAGGCCAAAGAAAGCTATTAGATACAGGAGTTTGCATGACAAATCAGCTCCTATCACTCAGCAAAATTATTAGATATGAGTTCACAGATGTCATAGATATCTCTCTAGTATCATATCATTAGATATGATATTATTAGTGTGAGTTCATAGTGGAAGCACTGGAGTACAAGAGCCTGCCAAGCCACTAAGTCCACAGAGAAACTCATATACACCTCTTAGTTAACTGATCTACCTGCATCTGGAGTGTGTAGTCCTCTTTCTGCCACTCCCCCTTTTTGGAAGTGTATTGTTGAAGTTTGTTCACTTGCTGGTTAGATACTCCTCCAGCTCAGATACACTCAGTTTATGCTATTGATAACATCCAACGTCTGCTGCAATATACATCAGCCTAAATAGCTCTTATTGCATCATGACCAGATTACTAACCAGAGAAACAAGCTAATGTTTTGTTTACTGTTTTTTTGTTTGGTTCTGTTTAATTTTTATTTCTGCCATAAGATAAATTCATCTTTCCTCTAATCTTCCTGTTAACCTTCTGGGTGTTTTCCCATTTGAACTTGGCTTTTATAAATGCACTTGATCAGAATTGTCACTGCTGCTGTCTCACCAGTGCCCTAGACAATGGCATTAGTATTCCACTTAGTCTTTTAGCCTGATGCAGCTTCTCTGGTAAGCAAAAAGGTACCTAGTCTCATGACCCAGAGTGCTATACCAAATAGAGTAAATGGCAGAAACCTTTACCCATCTCATTTTCATTCTTTCATATTCCCTAGTAAATCTAAATATATTTCTTCTGGAGTATCTGGGCTGACACAGCTTTTATTTTTTCTTTCCATAGCTGCACTATTTTGGTGGCCTCCTAAAATCCTGTGTTATAGTAACCCTCTTAGGACTGTGTCTCTTTTTGACATTCTTGGAAGAAGGGGGTTTTTAAACGCTGTCTAGTGTGGAAGTTAGATATATGCTTCCTAAGCTACCCTTTTCATAGACAAAGTAAATTTAGATTAAAGAAAGAGAAATTAGGGATAATTTGTGAGCTCACCACAAGAATCCAGGTGTTAGAGCCTTGCCAAAACTGTTTTTTACATTCTACATACTTACATTCTACTGTCCTGGGCATCTCCTGGCACTGCGGCCATATTCATGCTAGTTTTGCTGATATGAAGCAGATAGAGCTTCTCTGAAGTGTTTTAGACCTAACATCTCAGGATCTTCTTGGTATACCCCAACTTTGCCTTTCAGTGTTCTGCTTAAAAAAACCCTTTGCTTTTATAACTACATGTTTCTAATTGTGCTGGGATACATTTAAATATATACATGATGCTGACCCCATAATACCTTGAAGCAGATAAGCTTTTCCGGATGCTGCCAAGTACATTAGTTTACAAGCTGTGCTCTGCAGATGGTTGGCAAAAAGAAAATTCCAAATAAGTGGCTGGTGCATTGTCTAATGAACCCTGTTAATTCTAATTGGTTAAAAAAAAATTATTATGATTTGTGAGAATTTGCTGTGGTCTACATATGAGGATATCAATGCTGAGATCACACCAAAAATACAAAAGAGTGAGCAGCTTGCCCAAGATATAGAAAAGAAGAAAACAAAAGCCATAGGAGGCCTCTGAAAGAATTAAGATTAAAATGCAGTCCCTAGATTAATCTGATATTTCACCTCAAAAGTAATTAATTTCTTCATGGCTGGGTTATTTGTCACATTGTTCTTGTACATAAGGATTTTGTTAATATTTTAACTACTCTGCTGATGTAAGTTGATCTACACATGAAAGACCACTATGTGCAGTGAGTGTCAGCCTACATACAATTTGGTAAGTTAGAGTAATTGAATTTTTCCTTTGTATTACATGGTTTCAATATCCATTGTCTATGTTTGACTAATTATATTTTACAAAAGGCAGAAAGATCGCCTTGTGAAAGGCTGCATATGCAGGAAACTGTTTTTACTAAAATAGCAAGTAAAGTCAGCTGCTGTGTAGAAAGGAATATAAGTTGTATATATTTCTGCCCTGTATATAGGAAAGAGCCATTTCTCTTTCCACTGCAACTATGTATGTATAAGCACCAGTCAGTCAGCACTGTTCCACTCTCATCTGACTGAAGGGATCGATTAAAAAGGACCTCAGTTACCCCACTTTCAGAGGCAGGCTGTAACAACACTAGACAGAAAGAGAGTGTAGCACTTTGAAGCAATTTTAAGTTCACTAATCAGTCTCTGTCCTTACTGTACATAAAAAGAAGACGTTTTCTCTGGACTTACTGATGGTCTTTTCCTTTAAGACGTGATTGTTACTAGAGTTTTTAAAAGGAAACTACTTATTTGCTAAAGGTGTGAATGAATAAATCTCATTGTTTTCAATGTCAGGTTTTCTGCACCATATTTTGCAGGGGCAAATCATCCTACACTAATCATGAAGAGTGGGGTGCATGCATATATAAATGCAAACTATAGTTGTCTGCAGGTCATGGAAGTCACAGCATCTTGTGCTGCTCAAGTAAGAAAGCTGTTCAAATTGATTCTGACAAAGAATGAGGCCTGCCAAGGCATAGAGAAAAAGACAAATGTTTTGTTATGATCATGAAAATGTCAGGTGAACACGTTTTTTCTGACATTTGTTTTCAATCAAGCTCTATTTTCACCTCTTCTCTTGGGATCAAGGAAAGAGCTAAACATGAGACTTGGAAAGCACCTGGGTTTGAACAGAAAACTCTGCTTAATGATTGAACTTGCCCATGCCCTTGAATAATCCATGTTTAAGGAGTTTAGAGATGTGCTGTAAGAAGGAAAGCATACAAAGATATCCTTTATTTGTCCTTGCACCGTATTCAAACTGGCAACATTACTCCTCCTGACTTTGATAAGGAGCAAGCATGTGAGATTGCCTGTCTATAGGTTTTCTGTTCATTGTCTTGAGCTTAGACTTCTCAGTCGACTCTCAAGTCTGTCCTAAGTCCTGTAAGAAATGGCTTGAGACTGCTTTTGATGCTGATGAAAATAACCCTGTGCATTTTCTCTTCAATTTTACCAAATAAGGGCAAAATTGTACTGAAGAGAAAACAGCGTGTTTTGTTGAAAATGATTGTTTAATATCCATTTAACCTTTGAGAGAAGTTAGTCAAAATAAAGTTATGCATTTTACTTTATTGGAAGGAGAATATCATAACATCAGCAAGGTTTATTTGGTTCTCATCCACGTACGTAATGTTTAATTACAGGTGGGAACACAGCATTCCTAGTGATTGCTTCCAGCATAATTTCCAAAGGTGGAACATAGCATTGTCATGATGTTCTTCATATTTTACAAATGCCTCCAATAGTAGGAAAAACTACTGTAAGGAGTGAACTGTCATATTAGTACTTTGGGAAGTGGATTACAGTGCATTCCATACTTATTTTTTAAGTCAGCAGCTTGCATTTAGGAAAGAGAAGTGCTACAGGCTTATTCAAAAAGTTCAAGAGGACCAAGCATCTATATTTCCCTTACAGTCAGCAGAAATACAGATATTCCTTTAGGGTATCACTTAAATTGTGAGCATAAAGTGGATTGTTCTTGGAAGAATTTGTCTTGTTTGCTTACTGCAGAAGGAGTGAGTTTGTGAAGTAATGGCGAAGTCTTAGCAAATGCACGGAGTATGATGTTTCTTTACATTCGTGCAGGCTGATTTGAATTTTGGAGAAAAGATCACTGTCAGTAGTCTAGGGAGACTGGTTTGCTAAGCTAAAGTTAGTCTCTCCAAACAGTTTCAATTATTACCTCACTAATCCTCTTGAAAAATTATTCTTTTCCTATGCCTTTCTTATGCCTTTTGCATCCTGTAATAAGCAGACATACTCCTGCCTCTGAAATAAAAATAGCTTCAAATCTATGTTCAACATACCTGTAATTCTGCCTATGATACTGCAAGTAATGACTCCATCAGTTTACGGCACAGTGAAGGTTTTGAGCTTTGAGCTTTTTTTTTTTTTTTCAGTACTGTTAAGGAAAGTGCTGCATGAGTAATGCATAAAACCACACTAATTTAGAGGACCACCAAAATTTCTGTGGGTAAAATCTGTCTTTAAAACTATCCACAGGAAACACATCATTACTCAGGAAGGCTACACAATGTACATGGTTTAGCAGGACTATTATTAGAATCCAGGTCTCCTGATTTCTCTGGTCATTGAACCATACTGAAGTGTTAGGCATTAAAGTACATAGGGATGAGTTGGAAGGTTCATAGGATTCAGGGCAACAAATGGATGAAAGCTTTAACTTCTTTTTGAAAATCTTAAGCTGGTTGAAGGAGCTATGTGAAAGGCTTCCTAGGAGATAAAATCAGGAAAGAATATGATATTCCTCCTTGCTACAAGGGATAACTGCTGCTGTCAGCTGCAGCACAAGAGAGGGGGCCCAGAAGGGCAGTGGAACAGACTGCTGTAGCAACACACAGTGGTCACACATCTGGCACCCACAGCCACTGCAGTCTTTGGCCTGATAGTTATTGCAAACTCTACACAACATTAGCATGCCCTGTGTAATACTGCTTTATAGCAATTTGTGAGTAGACTCATTTAACAATATCTGATTTCCTTTTTGTTGTATTCTATGCAAAATATCCACAAGTAGTTATACAATACAGGACAGTAATGAAAGTTTCTCTCTTTTCTATAGAAATAATAAAGCTAAAAGGTCAGTAATGTGTATGCTTGACAATATTCAGGTTTTAATTCTAAATCTTCTTTGTTGCATAGCTGTGGAAGAAGTGAATAAACTTTAAGGCCAATGCAAACACTCAGGTTGCAAGTGTGTAGGTACCCAATACTACATTTAATGAAGAAGGTAATTCTGAAATTGAATTCTGAAATAAAATGCTCCCTACTCTATAATACCTACTCTATAATTTATGAAATATATATCTGACACTGAATTTTCAATTAAAAACTTGCTTCTTCCAATGTCTTCTTCAGAGATTTTTGTCCTCACTCCTGTATGCCTCTTCAGTAGCCCAAAGAAGCTGGCATAATGTTTTTGATGATATGAGATAACAGAATTATCTAAAACGTTATACATAACTAAACTATAACTAAAACTAAACTATAACTAAAATTTTGCTGAGAGTGTGAGTTATTGCACAGCTGTCATCCTGGTTCCAGCTGTCCTTTTTGATTGCCCAAATACATTCTGAGATGCCTAAATTAGAAAGATTTTACATGAGGCTTTTATATGAGGCTTTTCTGTAAGCCTTTATGTTAGGTTATGGTGTCTGTCGTTCTGTCTCAAATCAGCATGCAAAAGTGTTGTTCTTGGAATTATAATAATTAAAGAACTTCCACAGGCTGTCAAAGTATTTGATAATTTTTCTTGAAAACTCAGCTGAAACACTCTAAGTTCTTTATGTTTTCCATTTAGTTTTGAGCAACCTAGGTGGAATTTTGGTCACATTTTCACTCTAATCACTGCAATTTTCATGAAAACCTAAGGTGTACTTTTTATAAATAGAATCCATTATCTTTGAAGTCCCTAGAGCAAAACAGGTTGCTCTGCAACAGTATTCAGTAATCTGGGCTTTTTTAGGTGTTTTGGATTAAAAATTACATTTTAAGGACTCAGATTTCAAAATGATGTTATCCAGCAGGACCTTGACACAGTTGGGAGACGGGCCTCTGCAAACCTCAACAAGGCCAAATACAAGGTCTTACTCCTGGTTCGTGGTAATTCCAGGCACACCCACGGGCTGGGCAGAGAAGTGATTGAGAGCAGCCCCGTGGGGAAGGACTTGGGGGTGATGGCTGATGAAACACTCACCATGAGCCTGCAGTGAGAGCTCCCAGCCCAGAAAGCCAAGGGAGTCCTGGGCTGCATCCAAAGCAGCTTTGGCCAGTGCACTGGGTGAGGGATTCTGCCCCTCTGCTCTGCTCTGCTGAGACCCCACTGGAGCGCTGCATCCAGCCCTGGGGTCCCCAGCACGATGACAAGGAGTTGTTAAAACAAGTCAGGAGGAGGGCCAGGAGGTTGGTACGAGGCTGGAGCTCCCTGCTGTGAGGATAGGCTGAGCAAGTTGGGGCTCTTCAGCCTGGAGAAGAGAGGATTGTGAGGGGACCTTCCAGTATCTGAAGGGGCCCACAGGGAAGCTGGAGAGGGATTCTCTGACAGGAATTGGAGTGAATGGGTACACACTGAAAGAGGGGAAATTTAGACTAGATATTAGGAAAAAATTTGCTATGAAGGTAGTGAGACACCAGCACAGGTTGCCCAGAGAGGTGGTGGATGTCTCAGCCCTGGTTCAAAGCCAAGTTAGATAAGGCCTTGAGCAATCTAGTCTGGTGGGAAGTGTCCCTGGCAGGATTGGGACTAGATGATTTTTAATATCCCTTTCAAACCTTAATATTCTATTAATCTAACTGCCACTTATGAAGATATTGCATTAATATTGCAAATTCAAAAAACTACAGAATATACTAGTACTGGAAAAATATCAAGACTTTATTTCAGAGGTGTATACACTCACTATTAAATGGCATGATAACTAAAAGCTGGTAAAGGAAAAATGCTTTGAGTAAGTTTATAGTGATGGCAAAAGATAGCAAGGTATTTACAGTAAAATGGTTCAAGAATTTTATCAGATGTAAAAATTGTTAAGCTTCTATTTGGAAATATACCTACTGTGTCAAAATGAAGCACTGATCTCTTATTTCTCTTTTATACAAATGATATATATTTTATATATATTTTTTACATATTTTCTGAAAAAAAGTATTTTTAGTGATATACTTAAGAATTCTCCTGAACTTTTAGAATTATTATTTTTTGTTTTGGTACCAGTCACCAACCATTTTTATATTCTCTATTGCTAGAAGAACTACTGCTAGATACAAGAATCACAAAAAATAATAAGATCTCTGTGCATTTCTTGAAGTTCACATTGAAGTACACACATGACTGATTTTTCAAGAAGATATTCTTCTTTAGATTCATTGATACGTGGTATGAAAAGCTTCAATAAATTCAAAATGTTTCCATTTTTTATGATAAAAGAGACAATAAGATATTTCTTTTTTATTTTGAATTACAGATGGCATCCGTTCAAGATTCCAGATATGGCCAGAAAGATACATCTGACCAGAACTTTGATTACATGTTCAAACTGCTCATTATTGGCAACAGCAGTGTTGGAAAAACCTCCTTTTTGTTCCGATATGCTGATGATTCCTTTACATCTGCATTTGTAAGCACGGTTGGGATTGATTTCAAAGTAAAAACGGTTTTCAAAAATGAAAAAAGAATTAAGCTACAGATTTGGGTAAGCTAAAAAATAATTCTATGAATAAGTAAACTGTAGTAGTTTTAATAGCATTTACACAACTGCAGGTTTGCATTGAGTGTTACAACCCTTATATATTTAGAGAGACAAAGCATAATTATGAAATAGCAGTTAATTATTTCTTGCATAGTTGTTCTGTCTTGAATATTAGAGTGAAACCAGTATTTTCTTCAAAAGTATTGAAGGTTGACACATATTAATATCTGTGTAGTGAGCTATAAATGTCTGTGCAATATGTAGATTATTGAAAGTGATACATGTTATATCAAAGTACCTCAAAACACCAGTTTTAAATCTGGTGTCTTCCCTTTAAAAAATTATAAATGCATGTGTGAGCTACAATAGTCTATGCATAACGGAAAGCATAATTTTTTGCGCTGTCATCCTGATCACCTGAAACATTCCTCATCTTCTGTTTGGGAAGGAAACTTGTGCAAAGAGGTAGTGTTACCCAGGCATACAAACCTCTTCATTCCTTGCCTTTACTTTAGAGAGAGTAGAAAGATACCCAGTGAAGAAAAATGAAATGAAAGGGTATAGGTTTTCTTTTCCACCAGTTCTCATAAAAAATAAATTATAGCCAAAATTTATTCCATAGAATCATAAAATATCCTGAGTTGGGAGGAACCCCACTCCTGGCCCTGCACAGAACCAACGCAACAATCACCCCATGTGCCTGATAGTCCTGTCAAAAACTTCTTGAATTCTGGCAGATTTGGTGCCATGACCACCTTCCTGGGGAGCCTGTTCCAACACCCAAGCACACTCTGAAAAAAGTGAAAAACCTTTTCCTAACACTCAACATAAAGCTCCCGTGACACAGCTTCATGCCACTCTCTTGGACCCTGTCACAGGTCATAGAGAGATCAGTGCCTGCCCTTCCTCTTCCCCTCACAAAGAGGTTGTAACTGCAATGGGGTCTCCCGTCAGTCTGCTCCAGGCTGAACAGACCAAGTGACCTCAGCTGCTGCTCATATGGCTTCCCCTCAAGGCCTCTCACTACCCTTGTGTCCCTTCTTTGGATGCTTTCTAATACCATTATGTCCTTTTCATATTATGGTGGCTAAAACCACCATGAGGTGGTCTTGAGGTGAAGCTGCCCAGTGCCCATCATGATGCCTTGGAGTGGCTACCTGGAACAGAGCCTAGATAAGATTAAGAGAGTAAAAAGCAAGTATTTATTAAAGGCCTTCAATAGATATACCTTGGGCAGTCAGAAGCCTCTGAGAAGATACACCCAAGATAGACGATGGTCAGGAGTTTTTCAGACAGATATGTTTGGTCCATTTACATATCAGGGGTTAATCCTCCAATTACAGCTTCCAGTAAATGAAGTCATATACCTCCACTTTGCTCCCTGCCCCCAACACACTTTTGTTTGTACTTTCAGGGCCTGAGGCAGTAAGGTGTCCTTGAACTTCAGGCCTAGGATAATTGTTTTCTCTGACCAAAATCTGAAGATGGTAGCTAACATTCTATATAAAGTTTTAGAGTTATACATAAAAGCAGTACAGAATTGGAAAAATTTAAAGGCTAAAATCCTAAGGCGTCATTCCCCTGAACACCATTTCTCTAGGCCAGAGGAATGCAGAGCGAAGTAGGAAAATCCCTTCCCTTGCCCAGCTGTGCCTTGTGCACCCAGGACATGGTTTGATTTAGGACAGATTCACTGATACCCTTCTTCTTGGGTGATACTAAAAGGAGAGGGAGAAATAGCAAGACCTTTAGTAATGTGGAGCTAAAGCAGCAGGTTTTCCTGGTGTGCTTGAGTGAGTACTTTGTGAAAGATTTTCCTTTTTTTTTTTTTTTTTTATGGAATATTAATAATTTAAAATTCATTTAACAATGGGCAGACATTAAGCCTCAAAAAATCTTGGTTCAAATCTGACCAGTTAATCTAATATGATTTAAACAGCAGATAAATTGAATATTTTCTTAATATAGTACAATGGAGAACTTCCCAGGGTTCTTTAGACTCTATCTCATTAGGCTTCAGCTCTTGGTACCTCAAATAATTTGTTGTTCTGTCCCCTCTAGGAACTAGAACGTAGACTTTTTGCCTCTCAACATTTTTATGTTTAGGTCATCACTATTGTCATTAGTATAAAAATGGTACATGCTAGGTAACTATATATCACATTAATATAATGATAATGTGATACATATATATAGATATAGGTATAGATATATATATATATAAATAATATATATATTACAATATATATATAATAGGTATATATATATATAATAGGTATATATATATATATATATATATATATATATATATATATATAACACTTCAATAACATGCTGATTTCATTTTAGTAGTTTAATGTTGGAGATTGCATTGACAGAACCTTGTTATTTTTTTATAATGGAGCAATAAAATTGTGTTCATATTACAGTTTTTATGCAGTTCTTCTTTTAATTGCCAAGTAACCATTACAGTAGGGTTTATTGCTCATGTCTTTCCTAGCAAAAGCAGCAATGTTAGTTTACAAGGTTTCTGATTAGTTTGACACCAGTATATTTTTTTGCCTCTCCACATCATAAATATGTGCTTGGCTCAAAGCTGTCCAGTGATCTAGATGTGTTATGGTCTATCCCTGGCATAGATAGGATATAGCAGCTGTATTCTTACCACTTGTTGCAAAATATATTTTGTTGTTCTTTGCATGGCATTAACATCAGAGTCCAAAGAGGCTCTGACTATTCTTGCCTGGAAAAAACAAAATTATTGAAACAAACCAAGAGCTCTGTGTTCCTTAGGGAAGAGGAAACAGAGGGTCAGAGCATAGAAGAGACCTTCCTATTTGAAGAGTTACATGCCAAGATGTAGGGTTAGAGATAGGACTTCAGATCATACTTTCATAGGAAAGGGTTTTAATCCAAGCCAGCACTGCATCTTTATTTACGTTGGTAGTTGGTTTTTTCTATTTTTGACGGTGGAGATTGTTTGTTTTCCACTAAATTTCTAATGCCAGTTCTTAAAAGCCCTTTTCATTGCTAAATTTACTTAAATTGCAGCAGCTCACTTACAGTTGTCTGTACTTTTTAGATGGAGTGTTCTGTGTAGGAGCATTGTTGCAGTTAAGCTTGCTGGTAAATCCTTTGATTGTTGCATCTCTGAGAACTTCAATAAAATTAGTAAGGGATCTCAGAAAGCTATTCAAGTGCACAAAATCTGAAATAGAGCACTATTATCCTGTCTCCTAAGTTATATTCAGAGCAGAATTGTTCTTAATACACATTCTATATATATGTATGTAGCTTGTGTCTATATTATATTATACTTTGCTATTTTTATTGGTTATGCAAATAACATTCTAAAATTAATAGTTCTCTTGCAATATCCATTTCCATTTCATTTATTTATTTATTCCTTTATGAAAGACAATTTATATTACCTAGACTATAAAATCAAATTAATCATAGTGAGTGTGTTTTGGTGTTAAATCTGAGTAGAAGCATGAGGTTATAATACTTGCATGAAGTTATAACACTTCCCTCAAAATCAGCGACAAACTATTTGGTGGCATCATGTGATAGCTGATGTTCAGCATATATGAAATAAAATATTATTGAAAATCTCACAGTTTTGTAAATTCAGATGGCTGCAGATGCAACATTAAAATGTGTTCTGAATGACAAAATCAGAAGTGCCATACACTTAAGTGGAATGGTGCTGCTCTGCTGTTCTTTCTTGACAATAAAACGCAGAAATATATAAATAGTAATGCTGTTAAGTCTCTGAAATTCCCTATGCAGACAAACAATCAATCCAATCCAAATTTTCTTGTTACAATTTTCTACATATTCTTCTAGGTTATTGTTCCTGTTACTAGTGCTTTCAACATGATACTTTGTGTTCAATTTGAAACCTGTTGGAGCTTGCAGATTCCATCAGAATAAGATTATTTTATGCTTACCAGTGAAGGTTAGAAGTTTGTTTAAAGTCAGCATGGGCACTCAAGGAAGCAGAGCCATTATTTAGTAATAAAATCCACACTGTATTATCACGGATGAACTAGGAAGGGTTATCAGGATGAGGTAGATGTTGTTTACATACTGGGATGCCCTGCAAGTCTTTTCTTTGTTCAAGGTTGTTTCTTGCTTGGATACAATAATGTCCTATTCTTGAGCTGTCTTCTTTCATTTTTAAAGTCAGGATGGGCTCCATCTAGTCCTTGCTGTAATATCATTTTCAAATGGTCAGAAAGAGCCTGCTGGGAGCTCTTTCCTTCTGAGCAACTGAACATTTCTTTCCACAGTATTTACTACTGGAATTGAAAGAAGTTCAGAGTTCAAGTGCTATATTGATTAGTGGCAGCACATTACCTTGTCGTAGGACCAACATCTGGCCCTGAAATATTGTTTCGCAGCACATTATAAGTGTGACAATCTGCTATGGACATTAGCAATACAGAATATTAACATGTCTCTTATCTTTTAGAGGACGGGAATAAAAAAAATCGCGCTTTACCTTACAAAGATACTGATTTGTTCATTGAAACTATACAAAAAAATTGTCTGTATGGAGCACATACAGACACAGGATAAAAGTCCATTAAAGGGCTTTAGGATGTTTTACAGTGTCAAATAATAAAAAATAATATATTTTTCTCCATTTTGTTTGAATTAGTAATGTTAAAGGAAAGAGCTGAAACTAGTAGGCTATAAGATTTTCTCACTTTCAAACTTACGCTGAATTTTTAAAAATGATTTTTCAATTTTAATTCAGACAAAAATACATTGTAACTAAAATTATTAAAAGCTCAAATGTGTGTAAATCAGAAAATAAAAATAAGAACTCTTTATCTCTAGTTGTAGTGTTGTAAAGCCTTGTATTACTTTTGTGAACTGTCAATGGTGTAAGACAAATAACAGCCTACAGTAGTTTATGGACAAATTAGAGGCTTATTTGGGAAGTAGAATTTGTTAGCTAATGTAAAAATAAACCACAGAATAGAGAGGAGAAA